AGGTGGACGGACAATACAACTGTTTCTACGATATCCCAATTGGACACAGGTACTAGGAGTTCGAGAGTACCACAACAGGAGACCACCGCATATGGTTCGAGTTCTTCCGTGTATACCGCACCCCATCAAGACACGCTTGCTCGGGGATTAGAGGTATCAGAAACGGGCAACATTCGTCATGATGTGACTTTACATGTTAAACTCAATATTGTCATATTTTTCCTTGTAATTTTAACATGTTATTTCTTCTTTTTTTTGGGGACTTTCTATAATCCATATTAGAGTTCCATAAATGTGTATTGAACTTTCCTTTATATCACTATGTTTTGTTGATGTAATCACAACTTTTTTGAGTTATATAAATATTATTAAACTTTTTTGCAATTTCATTTCTAGACATCTGAGAAAATAACATTCTGCTACACAGATTATTCATTCAACTCAAAAAATTTACAAATAAGTTGTTTACAAAACGCACAAACCAAACAGCTGAACTGCTTATTCAGACCAGGGACAAAAGGGTCAATTTTTCACAATCAGCTGTTTTCCAGATGCGTTAACCAAACAGCCAGACAACTTATCTGGATCAGCTGGTCATCAGCAGATTATCAGGATAAGCTGCTTATCAGCAGAAGCTGGATAAGCTGCAGCTGCCCCAAACAGACCCTTAGTCTCAAACTTCATAACTATCATATTTTCCATAGCTTTTTTATTTTGATAACAATTGCTAGGAAAGAGGGTGCCTACGGCCTAAATATAAATATGGAAATCATAAAATAATTAAAATAAATTATTAATCACAAAAGCAACCACTACTAATTATGTGCTTTGGCTTAAGTCCATGCCTTCAATTGTGCATAAATTGAATAATTCATTAAATTTAAAGGAGAGTATATGAAGGATTACTCTTCATAATAAATTATAGAAATAGAAAAAGATAATATTTCTTCTATTTGAGGGAATATGCAACCATCTATAATGAAGACATTGACTAGTTTAGAGAAGGAGATGCTAATATTGCTCTAATTACTCAATTTCTTCCCATTTCCATTAGATATAGAAGTGAAAAAAAGGTGTTATTTTTCGCTATGATCAAGTGATCTTTCTCTTGCTAGAACTTGAAATAGTAGTCGCTCTCTTGTTGAAGAAGCCAAAAACTCCTCTTTTAAGTACTTAATAAACTCCTCTTATAAGTACTTAATAAAATTCTCTTATTTGATGATACTCCTCATATTTCTTATATGAATGGTATGTAGCAAATTTGAATTTAATAACCCATTGGAAGCCTTCCACTTTGCAATATTATTGCAATGTTATTCCCTTCTACCTTGGTTGTTCCAAAAACCTCAAGAGTGCTCGGCAAGATGGAAAAATAATACATCAGGACTCTTAATGCATTCGAAGTCCAATGGTGGGACACCACGTGTCAAGTGGGCTCCACCATTTTTAACATTGACCAATGACAGTATATTGCGGTGGGGCCATGGGCCCCACCATTGGACTCCTAATGCAGTTTGCGTTCGGAGTCCTGATGTAATATTTTCTCCGGCAAGATATCTCGACAATACAAAGTTGGTCAACAAAATTCAACTGATTCATCATTGAGTTAGCTAACTTATCAAACAATTTGTATAGTCAAATTTGACATATTTGTCCTACGTATTAACTCGATAGGTCCACGTGACTCCATCAACTTGCCTTATAACCTAATAATGTCTTCTTATATGATGCACTACACATAACTATGTGATAGTATTATTTTAATGTATTTGTCTCTTTTGGTGTAGTTACTTGTGTATTCACGTCTGGTGTCTTCAACCCAATAAATAAATGACGCCATTCAGAATGGGGAACTTCTTTGTCCTTTGGAAGAATAAGGAATTATAAGAAGCATTCCATGTTTTTCTTTCCACATTTAGAGAATTTTCCTATGCTCTTCTTATCTAACAAGTTCTATCAAAGTGGTGTGAGACCATTGACAGTATGTGATTCAGCAAACTGAAAGGTTAAATGAATCAAATTTAAAGATTGTCCAACTCATTTATTTATGTTTATAAATAAATAACATGTTAAATGTTCTATACTTATATAATATATTATCTAAATAAACTTTGATTAACTATAATTTATTTAGCTAATTATTTAATAGTGAAATGTCATCATTTAACATTAATATGCCTATAAATTCAATACAGTTTCTTCTTATACTTTTAGAAATAATTACAAGAACTACTTTATTTGTATTTATTTATAAAATTTTATTGTAAAAATAATTATTTGTGAAAGACTTTTATATTATCTTGTTTATTTAGTTAAAATAAAACTAGTTCTATACTAATTCAAATTTAACCCATTTTCTTATTTGTTTAGATTTATAAAATTATGTATTAATAACTTTACATGAAAAATGTTCTAATTTTTAATTTGTTTACTAACTCATTTATTTTTAATTTTTTTTCTCTTTTTTATTTTAAAATGAGTCGTCTCGTTTTCTCTAATAATTCTCTCTTCCAAATCATATGAATAATCAGGAGAAAGTAGAAATCGAAAAAAATGGACAAATGGCAAAAACAACAAATAAGAGAAAAAAATAAACGTGGAGAATCTAGGTGCAATAACTTTGTGTAGACAATATTTTTATACGTACAATAATAATTTTAGTACAGCAAGACATACATCCACCAATTTCATATTTTATTCAAGAGAGAATGAACATTCAACTCACAAATAATTTATTCTCATAGTTTAGTATATTTAATATGCCATGTTATATATATATATATATATATATATATACCTCATCAG